TTACTACATGAGCTCTTGCATGATAATTTTATTAAAGGGGTGCTGAGGAAGGATTACCAGCAGTACTTTGCGCTCTCCACTTTGAAGATCTGTGCATTTCTCACACGTGTCGATCAGTATAGTGGTTTTATATCCAATTACAAGCAGTAAATTCTGCCTCCACTAGAAGAGCTGGTAGTTTCTGCATCTGAAGATAACCATACGCATACATGCGCCGTGGGGAAATTCACTTGGCGAGGCTGTCTGTCCTGCAACCCGGGATTAAATCGCACTTGCAGAAAAAGGTGACTTTCTACTTGTAGAGTTGTTTAGCGATACCAATAAAAACCACGTCCTTGTTGTTCCAGGGGCTATATACCAACACGGGGCACGCTTATTCAACATAATTATCCCGAAGACACCAGAAGCTCCATGGCTCTAAGTAGCCATACTTTATAATCACTGCAGCACAACTAATTAGCCCAAGCAGAGGGCTACACACGCAGATATACTGCTTTGATACCTTAGCTACCTTGTTTAGTAAATGACTGTTGATACCTCTAAACACAACTACATTGTGAAATATTAAAAAATACCCCAACATATATATACCCAGAGGGTGGCAAGAGACAGCCAGCTCGTGTTATTTCAAGCTCTGCCACTGGAACAGCAGCCTGTTACCCTTACACAGACATCAACATTACTCTGAGCTTGCAATAAAAAAAGAAAAAGAAAGTAATGTAGTAATGTTGACATGTCAAAGGTCGAATTCTGTAATCTGCCAAACATGCAAGGTTTCCACCTCTTCGTAATAAGGGGTCAAAATCTGGTCCTCGTTTTGGACCTTCTGCTGCAGTTCAACATCGAACCCTCCTTCAAACCACCTTGCAATCAGTTCTTTCTGACTTCCTTCCTCGCCTACTGATTTCCTTCACAGTCATCTCTGACACTTCCCTTGCACTTTTTTAGCTTTCAGATTTCCTCTGAGGACCAAGCGGCTCAAGTACAAGACCCTTATGTGTTAAATTACGCTGCCAGCAGAGCTAAAAAGGTCTGTTTTCCAGGCAATCTGCGGCAGTCGGATATAAGCTCGGCTGAATCCTAGAGAAAACACTAACACACCACAACAGGTTAGAGAAATCCTGTCTAGTTAAATCTATATCATTTATAAGGCCTCCTTACTACCTAAATAATAAATATCAGCATCTGGAAACACCTGCATTTTTTGTGTTCTGAGAAGGTGATTTAACTTAAATGGTTAATGTGTAACAAACCATTTGATAACTACAAATGTTTGTCCAACAGACTGAAAAAAAACCCAAGACAGATACAGACACCTTGAGCTTGCAGGAAATAGCCGTATGAGTTTCGAGGACTTTTTTTTTTTAACCTACTTTCATGGCCCTCCTGTAAAGCAAATATAATTTATTACTAATGCCACAGAAAGCACCTGAATTTTTTTCCTCTCCCTCTCTGCAAAAAGCTGCCTTGTTTGTGTCTCTGCCCTGTAACAAACAAGAAGATAAATGAGACATTTATGCCAAAGTAATCATTCTAAATCTGTTGTTTTGACCTCTAAGCCAAATTTTCTGCATTACATGCCAGTGGCTCAGAAAAAACAGTACTTTTTTTTTTCCTGACAACTGAAGCCTGTAACGTACGTGTAGCTCTGCTCAACAAAAATTGCTCTATCATTTATCTCCATATGTGTATCAGGAAACAGAGGGTGTAGGAAATTTGGCACCATGAGGTACCAACCCCCCTCCTCTCCTTAGACCCTCTCAGTTTTCTGTATCTGGGAAACTAATGCACATTTGGACACAAATCCAACTATGAGCAAAATTAGAAATCCTCACTAAAATGAAAACAGCAGGACAGCGGATATAAATATCTGGAGGACAATATGCTTTACCTTAATAGGTAATTTTGTATATTTTATTTATTGGAGCGGAGATATTCAGCATTCCACCAGAGCAGAAATTTTAGAATTGAAATCACGAGCAACCTTGACTTCTCAAAGACAAGACTGCACTGGATGGTGTCCAAAAAGAACTCCACTTGACCTTAAAAGCACTACTTACTTTTCAGCTGGAAACCAGAGTTTCCACATAGGCTGCTCAAGACGTGCTTTGCAGCTAGACAGACAACACCGTCCGGACAAATATTTATTTTTCTGGCAGATAAAATGGTCTCATCATATTTACTGCAGTGACACAGATGACAGCACGCCCGCAGAGAGGCACGCGCTCTCCCTGGGTAACGACAGGGCTGCGTGCCCTTCACCCGTCGTGTGGCCGATGGTCCGGGGGACTGGGAAATGACCTCGGTCTGCGAAACGGGGGGTTCCCCTCGGGTACATTTCCTCCCCGAGCGCAGGGCAGGACGGTATGTACCACCCCAGGCATCAGTTAAGCAGCTGCAATGCAAAGAGGCTCAATGAATCAGAAAGTCCAGCTACGCCTTTACAAACACAGCAAGCCAGGCAGCAAAGCAAGCTGCTGCGGGGGAAATACAAGCGCCCTCCCGCGCCTCCCAAGCCCCGGGAGCAAAGAACTCCTGCACGAAGGGCCCTGCAGACCACAGCGGCAGCGCAGGAAACCACCCCCTGTACCGGAGGGTTTCTCGTGAGCCTTGCCACTTATAGAAGTACGTGCACAGGAGGGAAACAATGCTACTGCGGGGGCCTCCCTCCAGCACCGATCTCCTTCAAGTACCCGAAGTCCCACGCCACCACACACCCTCCCCTCCATCCATCCGTGCTGGCCACTGCTGCATCCAGCTCCCATCTTAGCGCGGATGCTGCCCCAATGGGAAGGACTGGAGCTTTCACGAGTAATTACTCTCCGGCATGTAACAAGGCAAAACAGGCTCTCGCTTATACTCCTGTGGATTCCATTCCCCTTTTTTATCTCATATGGAAGTACAGTATTTTCTACTCAGAGAAATAGTGTCATTACTCCTCTCCTTTTTTTTTTTTATCTAGTATTTTTACTAGCTTTTCTTTTACTTTCCATTTGAAACCCTTTGCTCCAAAGAGATTCCTCAGTTACAGTCTGGGTAAGAGAGAAAATGGGCTTCGCTTTGCTAAACTCAGTTTTTTTCCATCTTTCTAAGTCTCACCTGACACCCAAACCATTCCATCTTGCATTGGAAACCTCTGGAAAGGGCTGCCTTTTAGAGTAAGCAGCAAATAGCTATTCTTTCAGCACTCACCAACCCACCTCATTAGAAATGGGATTAAGCTATTTTTTAACCAAACACAAACATAAACGGAAGTAACCACTGATACCTCTGCAACCGCAAGTACCTCTCTAGTGCAGGTCTCAAAATAAAGATGGTAAAATCCATTCTAAAAGGAGGATCAGAAGTGTTTCTTTCTAAAGCACCAGTTGCACAGTAGTAATTTTAGAAATTTAAGACAGCTCGAACCTCCTGCTGGATTACTTTTAGCAGGAGCTTTGTGTGCAAGGGCAATTGGGAGGCTGCTTGGCCACAGAGGGCGAGAGGTCCCTGAAGCAAAGCTCCGTCTGCAGCCAGGAATCCTCTCCGCAGGAGAAGATTTTGAATTAATTTGTAAGAGAGGACAAAAGAGTGAGCTGCTGACTTCTGAGCCTTTAGGAAACTGCCAGCACATGCAAACACCACTTTTTCTTTTCAGTTCTCCCCGTCTTCATTCTGATGACGGTGAAGTGCTCTACTGAAAACATAGGTGAGGCAAGGCAGCTGGTGCCAGACAGCTGGGAAATGAGCAGAGTTCAAGGTTCAGCTATTATTAAAAAGCACACACATCTTTCTATATTTATTCCCACTTTACAGCTCTAAATAAAACACATGCAGTCCTGATGAGTTTACAACTCTAAATACAACACAGGAGAAAAACCCTAAGACTCATCTGGGAAAACTGAACTGATATATACAAAAGCACCAGAAGGATTATTATTATTTTTTCTGCCACCGCATATACAGCCACATTTCTAAAAATACGCTACTAGCCCTAGAGTTAAACATAAAAGAGAAAAAACACTGTCTTATAAACACAGCCACAATCTGAAATCAAGCAGCCCGGTTCCTCACCCCAGCTCCACCATGGACCTCCTTGAAAAGCCGCTCAGGAGGATCCATACATTGCAGCATGCTCTATGCTCCAGCAAGCTTCATGTTTGCATCTGAGACACAGCAGGGAGCTCGGTGAGGCCAGCCGAACTATTTACCCCACTTCCCAGGCAGATTTCGCAGGGCTCGCCATCGCTGCTGCCAGCCTGATACTTCTGGCACAACAACCAGCTCCCTCCCTGCAATAACCAGAAAGCATGCTGGCAGAGACATGTCCCTCATCTCGGGGCATGGCTCCATTTCTCTGGAGAAAGAACAAGCAAGGTGCGTAACCCGAGTCATTCATGCACTTAGATGCTTTGACCGGAGGTCCCTCAGAAGGGCAATACGATTACAGCGAGTAAAGGTAACAGACGCAGTGAAAACACCATGACTGGACCGACCATGCAGCAGCTTCATCTGAAGAGATGTCTCCAGCACTCGCAGAGCCCGCTGCCACTACTCGCACCCTGCCTGCTCCCTCGGCACGGCACCGACCCGGCGGCTCTCCCTGGCGTCCACAGACTGAAAGGCCAGAATGGCTGTAAAGTCTGACATGACAAATAAAAAAACCCTAAATGCCAGCTAAGGCATATTCACTGCCACTTTGAAAAAATACTCTTATGAGTAAGAAAACATAGCTGTAACGGAGAGAGAGAGGAATGAAAACAACTGTCCCCCATACCAGAAGGCAGCCAGCCAGCACAATTCGAAGTGTCTTTTCTACATGCCTTGCAAGAACCCGTTCAAAAACAAACAGCAACCACCACCACCGAGACATACAGCTGCAGCAGACTCCAGCTGGCAGATAATTCAATAACCACCTCCTTTTTTTCCCCCTTTACACCAGAAAAACGTTAAGCCTGAAGAGTTTGTGGCAGGGCCCTGCTCCGGCGGCACCGGCGGCAGGCCAGGCAGGGGGTACTCACTGCAGGCTCCGCAGGTGAAGCAGCCGTCGTGGTAGAGGTTGCCCATGGCCTGGCAAGCCTGGTTTGCTCCATACACCCCCTTGCTGCACTTCACGCAGGTGCCTGGAAGAGAGAGAGGGAGACAGAGGTCAGAAGCAGGACCTGGCAGGGCGGCTGGGGTCACTGGCTGGGTGACCACACATGTAATTCGGCATGGTGGCTTGGCAGCTTGGGACCAGGCAGTTCGTTGTAGCCACAAGACGTAGGAGACATCAGTGTCACCCACCCTGAGAGATGCTGTTAACAGTGGTCACAACGGTCATCAAACCTCCATGGCAAAAGCGTTTTGCAAAAAAGTAAACTGGACAACAACAGCCCTGTTTGTCTAGTGACATCTCCTTCCTTCACCCATTCATTCCCACAAACTTGATATACATTTAAAACCACTTAATGACCCTCCCAGAAGCGTGGGTGGTAGTAAGTGGTGCTCAGGGCTGTTCACAGACCAATAGTTTCTGCTACTTATTGCATAAAATAAGCTTGTTTGTTGCAACCGATGTGAGGAGAACACACCTCTTCACTTAGCCCCTTTAAATCTTCATCAATTTCAGACCCTGCTCAGGTCTGCTGAAGGCCCTAAGGCTTTCCCACTGAAACGGAGCTGGACTGACTGCCTGACACCTACCTCTCTTCCCTCTGTCAGCCACATCTGAACAGACAGACCCAACGTAGGCGCTACCTACAGACCATGTACCCGCTCAGACGTTCTTCTCACCTCTTGCAGATCAAGGCACGAAAGAAGTCAGTTTTAAGGAGAGGGTACCTGGTGGTGGCGGCACCACGAACTATTTTGATAATGGAGTACGAAGTGACAACTGAGTTTCATGCCCTTGATGGCATCTGCTAGCAGGACCCGCTCCCTCTACTTGGCAGGGAGAAACAGCGAGGCCGCCCAAAACCACTATTAGTGGCCGGGAAAAGTCCTTGTCCAAGGAAAACGTCACATCAAGCCAGTTTACTTACTTCAGGCATTACCCTGTGATTGCGACAGATAGGTTTTAAAGCAGCATCACCCTTTAACGACCTCTAAATGAGCAACTTTTTAATCCATGTTTGAGCAAATAAACACGGATCTACCCAAAAAGGGCAGTGTGAAGGACAAACAGAAGACGTGTCTCTGCTCAGTGACCCTGCAGACATGACTTTGCCTCCAGATCTCTCCTTCCACCGCTGCTCCAACTCTTAAACTCCCTGGGGCAGGGACTGTTAGTCACGTCTTGCTCCTCCTGGCCCAAGAAGAGGGACAGCATCATCTTGCTGGAGATCCTTAGTCATACCATGGTTAACAAAACTTCACTACTCTCGGGGCCCTGCAAACTCTGGAGTAATTGGAAAGGTCTGGTGAAAGTTAAGAAGAAACGCAACGTACTTACGACAGAGTTGAAAAGTACCTCCCAACTCCAGCAGCACCACGCTGGCAGTCCCAGGGTGGTTAACAATTTCTTCCTGCAGCCGACAGCTGCAGCCGTCAGTTATCACACTACAGGGTTAAAAACGCTCAGGAACCTTTCGCAGTAGCGCACACAGGGCTGCTGAAAAGCAGATACTTCATTTTCCCCAAGCAGACCTGGCTCTCTGTGCTGCAGCTGCCTGCGTGCACTCAGCCGCCCACTGAAAGCTGTCCTAGCGCTGCTCCAAGCCCCACTGCACTCAGAGCCAGAGTCCAAACTGACACAAACCTGGAGAGAAGGCTGCAGAGAATAATTAGTTGCTCTGTTCTGTCCAAATCCGACCTGAACTGAAACGCTAGCTTGGCTGCAGGCCCACCCCAGCACGCAGACTGGCACCAAGTTAGCAAAACTTGTTGGTTCTTTTTGAACCAAGCAGATTTATCTCCGTTACTTCTTGAAAGAAACATTTTAAGAAAGCAAAAGATAAATCATGCAGGCATTACAAAAAGAAAAGAAGGAAAAAAAAGGAGAAGATGAGACAAAGATAAGAAAATTTGGCTTTTCAAATGGATGTGTTCTCCCAGGAACACATTCAACAGCAGCCTGAGATGCTGTGCAATCGTCTGACACAAGAGCTAGCGGCTACCTCGCAAAATTCCCTCTCGACCACAGCGATGCTGAGTGGAAAGTTTTGAGAGCAGAAAACCTGCTGATTTTGCTGCTCAAAGCTTTCTTTCCACGACATTCACCAGGTTTTCCACAGAACCAATGTCTTTATTGCACTGCAAGTGCTGCATTTTCCCCTTTTCCATGCCAATGAGCGGCTGCTCTAGAAAAAAAAATCACCAGCATGCTCTGATTTCCTCCTTTCCAGAAAGCAGCCGGGTGACACTGAATATGGATGAGCAGCGAGAAGAAGCAAGAGACAGAAGGCACAGCAGCTGCCTGCAGGCGCAGTGCACGGTAAAGATGCTGGCAGGCATCTAAAGCCACTATAAAATACCCTAACGCAAATCCCACGGAGGGCAGAAATTGCTTCTGCTGTCTCCTGTCCATCCGATTTAAGCTTCAGAGCATAGGCACTGCCCATGTTTTCCCCAACGGGACAGACAGTCCGGCGGGATCCTGCAGGAGCTGCCTGGGCTGCCGTATCCACACCCAAACCTTCCTCCACCTCCCGCCCCTCCACCACCTCCACCATCCTTCCCCCTTTCTTTCAGTACATGCTCCTTTTCATCCCCTGCTTAATCCTTTTATCCACTTCTTTAAATATTTAGGCCCTTAAAACATGGAGAATAAAGTCACAGAATGAAAGGGCTTTTAAAATAAATTGACAATATGTTGTCTGTAAAAACTATCATGTGCTAAATTACCCAACTATGCAATAACCAGCCATGCTATAAATATTTATAGATGTCCTGTGGCAAGGCTGACAATTGAAAAATGGCATCATGGCAAATCTCTGTATAGTTTATGTTTTTACTTGTATCTGCTAAATCTTAACTTGAAGGCCGATTAAATCTCAGTAGCGGTCGGAATTATTCTAGAAGTAAGTCTTTGCTTCTTCCAAATATAATATTCTGAAGTATTTTAACAACATACTTCAGCCTTCATCTCTGAATCTCAGCACACCTGGCCTGAAAGGGGAAAAAAAGGTGATTTTTATTGATTTTTCCTTTCCACTTTTTTTCTGCCGCTCGCTCCCTGCTGCCATAATGATCCTGTTCTTTCGGCTTAGGCTACGCAAGGGAAAAAGCAATACCTGCTGCTGGCGGTGGCCAGTTGCCAAGCTCAGCAACATGTGTGCGAAGCCGGCTTGATGGGAGGCAGCGCAGCACAGGCCACATCCAACCCCATCCCGCCGCAAAACGGGCTCTGCGCCCTGCTCCACGCCAGCTCCGATGATTGTTTCCCAAAAGAGTGCTGAGGGTGCTTTCTGCTAGCCAGGGCGTTAGAGTTAAAATGTCAGCAGCATCGGTCCAGCCCCACATGCTGCTGATGCTAGTCAGCAGCTCAGGGTCATTTTCTTGGCATAACGCAGCATTTAGCAAAAACATCTGTCCTCAGCTTGAAGCAGAGGGATCCCAAGTATCCACAGCTCAGCGAGATGCCCGGTTCCTGCACTTGGTAACTTTGCCACACGTAACGAGCGCTTACGCAAGCGCCGATCTGAGCAGATATCCCCTCCGAAATTATGGCTTTTAACCTCAGACGGCGTTATTAAGATGTTGTTAAGGAGAAATGAAAGGTTTCTCTTTCGCCACCAGAATGACAAGCCGAAAGCACCGCACATGCGCAGCGCTGGCAAATTCACACTCGAGCGCGCCGGCAGAATGGTAGCCAGATTTGGAAAGGGAAAGGGATGGAAATTGCTGATTTCGGCTTAATTTCTGCTGGCAGGGCGGCCGGGCCCCGGCTAACAAAGAAATCTCTGTTCCCTTTCGCATCATGCGGCAAGCAACCGCCCGCGCTGCAGCTGAGCGCCTGAACAAAGGGACCTTTGGGGCAGAGCTGGGACCGAAAACATGCCCTGTAAGCCACATCCCGGTGCTCGCCGTACGCCATCTCAGCACAGCAAACCACAAGGAGGGCTGCTACCGGGAACAGCCTCGGCTCACGAAATCAAACAGGTCTGGTGCAGACCTCAAGGGCTGTCAGAAATGAAAGGGAACCCAGCGCCCAGTCTGAAAGGTCAGTCGCACCATCAAAGTTCATTTCCATTTACCGCTGGACTCAAAGCCTTTAGAGATGTTTTTTCCTCTAAGTGTTGCTACTTCATGCTCACCAGAAGGAGCTCAGTTACTTACGATATCCCACTCTCTAAAAATTCAGTGCACACCATGCTGAACAACAGCATTTTCTGGGGCTGGTCAGTATGATTTATTTCCACGTGCCAGACATCATCTATCTACAAACCAACAAGACAGTTGTGGGTTTTTCCAGCAGCATGCCCATTCTCAGCAGCATCCAGGACAGCCAAGCTTCTCTACACATGCTCCTGGTTGGGTTTGCTAAGACTGTCGCTTAATTTTAGAGGGCCAAATGTGGTGCTGTGCTGCTTCAGCGGTGAGATTTCCTTGCCACGTCAATCCGGTCCTGGATAAGAGGAATGCAGTGGCAGGATGAGGGGAAAGTCTGGTGGTGTGGGTCTGCATACATAGCTAATCCAGAAACAGCACTCAGAGGAGTAAGTCTATCCTACCCCTTCCACTTCTCCATGCAAGCCACATTTCCATGATCAGCTTGACTCTTTACCACACATAACTGTTTTTTGCCCCCTCCTTACAGGAGGCTGGATTTATGCTGCAGAACCCCCAGTTGCATTTGGAAGAGAACTCCAGAGCCTTTGCACGTAAATACCTCCCATATTATCTTTCCCATCTGCCCAGACACGCGCGTGGCTAATCCAGAAGAAGACCCTGCTGCCTCTTGGCAGAAGCTGTACCTTCACGAGGGTCCTCCCCCTCAGAGCAGGAAAGGGGAACAAGGCAACAGCTTTCCTCTTGCCTTGTTCCTCTTTCCTGCTCTGACAGGGAAGACCTTCATGAAGGTACAGCTTCTGTGTTTCCGACTCACCCATTTATTCCAGGAGAACCAAGTCCTCCACTTTTACACATGCGTTTTTCAAAGATCGTCTGCTGAAAAAAAAGACTTTACCCTGTCATACCCAAC